AGCTTGGTTTGAATTGCATGTATTTGGCAGGGAGGAGGGGAAGCAGGGTCGGGGGTACCAAACTATAGGGAGTTAATGCACATGACTGACAGCTTAGGAAGCTGCCAGGAATTAGTTGAGGCTGATGTCAAGTGTCTGTCTATACAGAGGCTGGCACCTGAGCCTGAATTTCACTTGTGCCTTTCGTGCCCCAGCAGGGCACCTTGGCATCTGAATTTCCTCTCCTCCCTGAGGCAGGGCATGTGTTGACTAGCTGAGGCTCTGCAACTGCTCCCCCATAATTCTGTGGGTGCCTGCATGTGCACCCCATTAGTGCAATTAATCTGTAATGGTTGCCTGCAGCTAGCACTTGGGAGGGTATTTAAATAACCAGTGCTTCTCTTTGTGGGGATGAGACCGGATCAGAGCACACAGCTGGGAGCCAGGAATTCCCCAGAGCTAATCCAAGCTCTGCCTCCTCTCTTGCCCCCATGATTTTGAGCAAACTGCCTTGGTTTTCTCCCAGGGGACTGCATGAAATACTGATCTCCTGGGGTGGTCAGAAGATTGAAATATCTGCACCTTCCTCTGCGCAGCTTAAAAACCCGGTTTGAACCATGAAGTTTGGCTAGGCCTCTCGACCGCTCTGATTCTGGTATGATCAGTACCTTGCTGTCAGAAGCTGTATGTAGCCATAGTAACTGTTACCAGGAAACATCTGTAAATCACCCACCCCATCAAGGAGGTGTACCAGGGTAGATTTAGTGCTTGGTACTCTGGCTGACCTGCAGGGGTGCAAGTAGGGAGGGAGGGGGGAGGCCAGCCATGCTGTGCTTATAGGGGAGGAAGCCAGGGAGATTTTTGGGCACTGGGAAGCTGGGGCAGAGCCAGCTCTGCTCTGATCCTCCTCTGTTGTACCAGGAAACCCCAGCGTGTGATGGACCCACCTTCCTAGGTTCCTATCCCAGCCCTCAGCAGCAGAGGGGCAGCAGGCTCTGGGAAAGGCAAATCTTCTAGAATGAGGCTGTTGGCAAGAGAGAGTCTTTTTTTGTGAGGGGAGAGGTTGGTGCTAATGCTACAGGCTGCATGTGCTGTGCAGGGCCTCAGCTGACACCATGGAAAGAGGCAACAATCTTTCTTTCTTTTGTTTGAGGTGGGGGAGACCCTCTTTACTCACTCCCCAAGCTTATATGGTTCAAATGCATCTTTGTCCCATATTTCCTTCCTGTTTCAATAGTCCTTTGGGCACTTACCATGCAGGAATACTAATGGTCAGTGGATTGATTTTTGTGGGGGGGTTTTCCAGTGATATCTTGGTGATGCTTATTGGATACAGATTATGACAAACAAATTGGCATAGCTGGAACGGGTCAGGCCAGGTGAAACTCTCTGAGTGCAAGGGGCTCCCTGGTATTAAGATCCTCTAGCACAGTGATTCCCAACCTTTTTCCCATGGAGGAACCCCTAAAATAATTTTTCATATCACGAGGAACCCCTACTTATGAAAACATTTGCTTGGCCAGAAAAAGTTGACAGCGGGGAGCGCAATTCGATTACTGCTAAATTATTGTCAAGAAAACTTATTTGTAAAGAGCTGCGGGGTGGGTGTGTGTGTGTGTGTGTGTGTGTGTGTGTGTGTAAAAAATATAAAATGTCAGCTTACATTGTAAGAAAAAAATGTATTTATTCCACGATTTCTCACGGAACCCCTGACAATGGTCTGCGGAACCTCAGGGTTCCATGGAACCCTGGTTGGGAAATACTGCTCTAGCATCACAACTGCCTTAGAAGCATCAGCGGTGGTATAGCTGTTAAGGATGTTAAAATGAATTTATTGAAGTAAACTTTTAACTGCTGTAACTTTCAGCAGTTACATGTTAACATGTGTGGTGGGGAGGTGGCTCCCAGGGAGCCGGTGCTTCTGCCCCTTCTACGCTTCTCTATCAGGCAGCAGCGCAGGAGGAAGGGGAGAGGCACGTGGCTCCCTGGGAGATGATTTTTCACAGGGAGCCAGCTTTGTGTACACCAGCTCCCGCCTGCTCCACTGTGCTGCTGCCTCTGACACAGAAGCAGCAGTGTGGGAAGGGTGTGTATTTGTGTGTGTATAACTGTGTGAACATTAACCAATGAGCCCACAATCATCACTTAACCGTGTACATGTTTACATTTCCACATCCCTAGTAGCCATTTTGGTCCTAGACTATTAGAGGCGTGAAGTGATTTTTTTTTTTATTGGACCAGCTTCAGTTGGTGAGACCGAAGCTTTTTAGCTTAAGGTCTGAATCATAGAGCTGGAAGAGACCTCAGGAGGTCAAGTCCAGCCCTCTACCCAAAGCAGGACCAATCCCAACTAAATCAGCCCAGCCAGCGCTTTGTCACACCGAGACTTAAAAACCTCTAGGGATGGAGATTTCATCCTAGGTAAACTATTCCAGTAATTCTCCACCTTCCTAGTAAAATAGCTTTTCCTAATGTCCAACCTAGATCTCCCCCACTGCAACTTGAGACCAGGTTGGTGCGAGAACTGCCTAACACAGCCCACTGCAGCACAGCTACCTACTTCAGCAGCTTGTGTATCTTTTTTGTCAAGTATTGCTTGCATTGTGTTCTGCTGCCTGGGACAGAAATTCCTTCCCCTGTCTCCTTCAGCACCCTCCAAATCAGAGGTTCCCAAACTTTTTCATACTGAGGACCAGTAAATCCATTCGAGCTTTTGGAGGACCAGTAACATTTATTTGCATATTCATTAAGCAAATGATGAATATGCAGATTGTTTCTGGTCCTCCCAAAGCCCCAGTGCCAACTTTAGCCCACAGAAAAGACAGTCAGGGTCACACTAGTGAGATACAAAACCACAGCCCCTCAAACTTCACTAATGTGACCCCAACTGTGCTTGTGGGTGCTGGGACAGAGTTCTGGGAAAGGGTGCCAATGAGTGCTGGGGCAAGGGACAGGGTGCTTGTGGGTGCTGGGGCAGGGTACTTGTGGGGATCTGGGGGGACGGGGAGGTGACAGACAGATACCTGGGGATCCTGTAGCTGCCAAGGCCCAGGAAGTGCATGGGCTGCTCCCCCGTCCTCCAAACAGCAGCACGGTACCTGACACGCTGGTCTATTGCATGCCTGATGCCTTCCTGGGCAGGAGGAGGGGGAGTCCTGGACCGTGCCAGCCCCAACCGCTCAGGCAGTGTGTGCCTTGTTCCTCCGCTCCCCACGGCAGCATGTGCCGACCGAGCAGCTGGAGTTGGCACAGTCCCGGATCGCCACCCGCCCCTGCTGCCTTCCTGCACGTGGGGGAACAAAGTCCCCAGCACGTGATGGACCGGCATTTTAGATACTGCGCCGGCTGTTGGGGCAGGGGGGAGAGCAGCCTGCATACTTCTGGGACCTGGCGCGCAGCTGCAGAACTGCCCCCTGACTCCGCAGGAAGCCTATGCTACCTCCGTTGACACTGGGAGTTCAGCGCAGCGTTCATGTTGGGGGTTGCAGGCAGCCAGGTGGGCTCTCACAAAGTTTTCTGAGGCCCAGTATTTTTTTCCTAAGGGCCAGTACTGGGCCATGGACCACAGCTTGGGAAATGCTGCTCCAAACTATCTTCTGACCCCTTTACCCAGCTGTAGGCAAAAAGCTCAGTGATGCTTCCCTACTTCTGCTTCTCCCAAGGGAGCATACAGAACAAGAGGCCACCTTGTCCAACCCTCTGCCAGTGGCTGGCTGCTCCCTCAGTCCCATCTTCAAGGAAATCGGAGCTTTGGCTTGGTCCAAAAGTGTTGAAGGGAATGGGCAATAGGCGTCCCTCAGCTCCTCTGAGGCTACTCAACACACTCCCTGATGGGGACGCTAATTTTTTGTGCTCCTATTCTTCCTTAGTGTTGCCAACTCATGGTTTTCCTTAAAGCCCCCACTCCTGTAGTCATGGATATGTGACCATTCCCAACTTTGTTCTTAAAGACAAAGTACACTCTTTTTTTTTTCCTCTTTTTTTTCCTTAGCCCTTGTAGCTGAGGAGACGGCTTCAAAATTTACCTCAGTGTGCACTAAAGACTCTCAGCAAATAAAAACAGATCTCTTATTACATAATCTCGTGGGGTTTTTTATGAGCCTGACTCATGATTTTTCAAATTTGAGGTTGGGTTCCATACCTTGTCTGGGCTGACCTCTGAGGTGGATGTCTAAATGCCTCCCCCTGCTTCTCTTCATAATACACCTAATTGTGTGGCTGGTAATTGAGTTTTGCCTTTGTCTTGCTAATAAACTAGAGCAAGACAAGAAATGGTTTTCCTGTCACACAAGAATTCCAGATATCAAACCCCTCTTGATTCATGATGAAAAATACATCTCAAACTTATGCAAATGGGCAAATAGAAGGCAAAGTTAATTTGGGTCAATCAAAACATTTCTTTGCCAACTGTTCTTGTTTAAACGTTTTAAAATAAAACCTTTAATTTTTTGAGTTCAAAATGACTTGTTGCAAATGTCAAAATTGGATATTCTGACAACTTTTATTTTTTTTTGGGGGGGGGGAAATTCATCCAAACTTTTTTAACGGTTTGATTTCCCTACTAAAAGACACCTTCAGATCTAGCAAGACAACAGAAAATGTATCAGTTGTTTCGTCAGATGTGGCAAAAAATAATCTACTTCTCCGTATATTACACATCCCTCCCTATACCACCGAAAAAACAATTTGATTACTTGCTTATTCATAGTCCTGTGTGTGCCTAGTCATGTGGGTTACACCTACAGCTTCTTTGGAATAGCTGCTTCTATTGCTACCCAAAAATACCTGTTTCCAGCAGTGTGCTGAACAGTGGTTAATGTGCAAGATCTCAAATTTCAAATATTTCTAGGGTGAGACAATGATTTTTTTTTCCTGCTAGCAACTACCTGCAAGTGCAAGATATGTTGAGAAACATATCTGCTAAAATAATAGAATATGAAGTATGTTCACTGTACTGTTTGTTGCTGCTACATGATATGAAAATGACACAAGAAATGGGCCTGACTCCTGCTCCATCTGAGCCTAAGTTACCCTGTGAAGTCCATGTTTTAAATCAGACATGCTGGGGTGAGCAGTAACCATCAACCAGCAAGAAAGTTTTAACCTTGGGAGAGCAGTTTCCCCAGAGATAAGCAGGAACTGATCTGTTTTCTCTGAGGTGGGCCTGGAGTCTCATTTTGATTCTGTGCCCTGCTGCATCTCTCAGTCCAGCATCTCTGAGGCCCTTTTTATGAGACACATGCAGATATTTTTTTTCTTAATAGCAAAGCTGTATGTACTGATCACCACTTACACCCACACAAGCCAGGCCCCATGGCAGGGGCTGAATGCATAGTACAGTCAGTCTTTGTTCCTGTACAGTCAACCTTCATTCTGTTGAATTTCAGACATTGTTTCTCTCCAATGGCAGTTTGCTGAGGCGAAAGGCACAGCGAATGCCTAGCAGGTGTTCCCCTGATGCATTCTGGGGAACTGTTTCCCTCTTTGTCTGACCATTGAAGCCATGTAACAGCTTCCCCCGCCAGGAAAGGGCACAGCAGCACTTTTAACCAGGACCCTGGGGATTGTTTGAGTCTTGCTTGTCAGGAGAGCACAACGTGGTCTCCTGGACTGCCGATGTTCTTCTGAAAACTGCAGTGCTCCAAACTGCAGCGCTCAAAGAAGCAGCCGCCTCGGGGCTTGGAGCTTGGTCTCAAACCTACTTCCAGATCCACAGTGTGACTGGCGGCGAGCAGCCTGAGGAGAGGTACGTGTGGTGTATGGGGGGTTTTTTGTTTAGGGTTTTTTTTTCAGCCCAATATATACGTATGTTCCACCAGCACTAACTTGCACGCCGAGTGGTGTCAGTTTCTCTCCCAGAACAGCCAGAATGCCTTGGAAGCTTATGCTATATAAGGGACTGACCCATGTGGACGGTGCTATGGAATGTAAGGAAAGAAAACAGCAGATAGGAATCACTCCTAACACCTGATCAAATAAATGTAAAAACAATAAAGGGTCCTGCAGCACTTCAGAGACTTTACAAAACATGTAGATGGAATCGTAAGCTTTCGTGGTCACAGCCCACTTCTTCAGACCCCTTGCTCCAGTCATCTGAAGAAGTGGGTTGTGCCCACGAAAGCTCATGATACCGTCTTACCATCTACATTTTCTGTTGGTCTTGCGGCACCTTAGACTATTAATCTCCCCCCTCCTCCCCTGCCCGCGAAGTTACAGACTAACATGGCTGCCCCTCTGAGACCTGATGGAATGTAACACATCATTATCCTGCCTGTGGCTTTTTGGGACCATTCCAGGTCAAGGGGAGAATTCTCAATGAGATTCGATAGGATGGTCCTGATCCTCTGAATTCTCCAGAGTGGGCCTAAACCCCCAACAAACCCCTTCTTTAAAATCTTGCCCCACATGGCAGCTGCTGTGTTCTCTGGGCTGCCTGCCACTCATGTCGCACCAACGCCTATAGCCACAGGAGAAGAGGCCAGTGGCTCCACCTTCACATGCTGGCTTTAAGCCAGCTGGTCAATGAAAGGGCTTTCAATGGCTATTCAAGGCCCACAGCCAGGGAAACAAAGGAGCCACTTGTAGGGCTGTTGGGAACAATGATGAGCTACTGGGAGGGAATCCTCCCAGTCTGACAGATTGCTTTCTCCAGTCATGGAGACCTCTTGTGCCTTTGTTCTGTGCTTTATGTAAACACGGGTCACCAACCCAGGGAGAATTCCTAGTCCCATTAAAGTCCAATTGCAAAATTCCCAGTGACTTCAGCAGGGCCAGGATTTCATCCAGAGCAGATGGAATGTGACCTGGGGTTGCATCCAATGTGGGTGCTGCTGATTTGTACAAAAACTCATTGCAACCCTGTTACGTTTTGTGTTCCTGGAGAGAGCATAATTTCCCTCACACCTTTCTCCCCCCTAAATGCAAACTTTCATCCTTTGGCTTTTACCCCTGGAAATCCTGCTGCATTTGAGCCATTTCCTACTCCAACCTCAAAGGAGCAAAACTGTGGTTTGAGGTCTTGCGTCTTGCCCTGCACTTTCTCTGAAGGTAAGGCTGCCTTTTAATAGAACACAACTCACAGTTGTAGAAGCACAAGATGTCTCTACCTTCCCAAGCTTGTGGTCATACTAAGCTGCCTTCCTCTGCTGTGTTAGGTGCTATTTAGGGGGAAGCGCTGGAGGGTTTAATGGTAAAACTGATAGGGAGGGAACTCACAGGACTGCCTGCTACCCTCAGCAGCACATCACACGGCACTGGCTCCATGCCTTTAAGACTAGGCCGGGGACACAGACCAAATTTCTGAAATGTATGGGAGGGGAATTAGGTGCAAGTAGGGTTGCCAGATGGTTTCAACAAAAATACCGGACACACTTGACAGGACATCACAATCTACATTGCATCTTATTTGAGGAAAATATAAATGTCCGGTATCTTCTATTTTTTTTCTCCATTTGTTTCCCGAACCAAAGCTCAAATACTGGGCTGTCCAGTTCAAAACCAGACACCTGGCAACCCTAGGTACAAACTGGTGGGATTATGGCTTCTACCCTGGTGTTCTCAGCACCGTGGGGAAACAGCTTTTTTTTAATCTAATTTTATTTTGATCCTTCTTTCTAGCTTTAGTTGTCTGACTCTAGACACCCAGACTTGAAAGATGCAGACAGCAGCCTAAACTCCATCATGGAACTGCTGTTGCTTTTGTCACAGCAGCTCCCAAAGGCCCCATAATAGGACCCCATGTACTGGGGCTATGTCTAGACTGCAGGCTTCTTACGGAAGCAGCTTTTCTGGAAGAGATCTTCCGAAAGTGTCCACACTGTGAAAGTTGCTTTTTCGAAAGATAGCGTCCTCACTGAATGGATGCTCTCTTGCATGTAAGCTGTGATTATTATGGACAGAGTAGCCACCAGGGCACCTGTGCTTTTTTCCCTCTTCTGAAAACTCCCTGTCCCCATCCACACACACCTTTTTGCAAAAGAGCTCTTTCGGAAAAAGGCTTCTTCCTCATAGAAGGAGGATTAGCAATGCTGGAAAAATCCCTGTTCTTTTGATTTTCTTTCGAAAACGCGATTGAAGTTTTTGTTTGTGTTGTTTTTTCCGAAAGCTCTGTAGTGTAGACATACCCACTCCAATGGGTGTTGGACAAACACAAGTTCCACATGCCCCTGCCTCAGAGGGACATGCTATAGGTGGGTATTTTGGGGGGAGGGAAGAAGGGATGGGTGACAATAACCGGACCGTAAGGCTGCACATAGGAGGTAAGTGTACAACTTGGAAATTTCATATTTATTATAAACTTTAATGCCAGAAGGGACCATCACAGTCATCTTGTCTGACATCTCTCACCTCACAGGCCACAGAACCTTCTCCACCCACTCCTCTAATCATTGACGCTACTTCAAACCAACAAGCAACCCCGGCCCCCCCATGCTTCAGGTTAAGGCAAAACATCCTCAGGGTCTTTGCCAGTCTGTGGTGCCGGGGAAAGAATTACCCCTTAGATCAGTTGACTTCGAGCATGTGGGCAAGACCCACCAGTCAAATATATGGGAAATACAACCTTGTAGTTGCTCAGTCCCCTGCCCAGGATCATACTTAATCAGTTAACTGGTTAAACATTTAACCCATTAACTGATTAATTAGGATTTTACATCCTTACTCTGTACCTGTTCCAGTTCGAATTCATCTTTCTTAAACATGGGAGACTGGGATTGCATGCAGCATTCCAGATGAGGTCACATCAGTGCTTGACATAATTTCTTAATTATTTAATAGAAGACAAGTGAATGAGGCTGAGTCATTCTGTAAAGGAAGTTATCTAGTCACTGGAGTAGGAAGGAGGACACCCAGCTCACTATGAATTCTGAGGAGGAAGTTTGAGTAATCAAAAAGGGGGGAAACTTAAAACTCCCTTTCACAAATCAGGAGTTCCCAGATGTCACTGATCTTCAGAGTCACTTACAGTCTGTAGTTCAGCAAGTAAATTCACATGGGAGGATGTTTTAACTCTTTGTAGAAATTGGTGGGCGTATCTTTCCCACCAGCTCCCTTGAAATAATGAGGATTTGTGCAGATTTCTACTTGGATTAGGTGTTAAACATCTTGGGCTATTTCCTTCTTCCTGATACTAAACAAAGTGATATGAGGTGGAAATCTGGATTCTGTGCCACTGAGTTGTTGGATGACTTTGGGCACCTCTGTGCTTCTGCTTTCCCTGTTGTCCATTTAGTATGAAAAAAGCAAGACAGACACTTGGGAGCAATGGTTGTCTCCTGCGAGGTGTGCAATCTACATGGGAGAGTCTCTCTGTCTCTCACAGGGCTACTCAACACGTGGCCCATGAGCCACATGCAGCCCGTGGCCTGTTGGTTTGTGGCCCGTGGTACAGTTTGGGTTTACATGCACAACGCATGGCCCGTGGGTGGAGTCCTTTAAACATGGCCTCCGCTGGGAACACACTCTACAATGGTGAGGCATCTCCCAGGCAGGGTGCATATTGACAGACGCAGGCAGTTGGGCTGGCTGGAACAGACGTGTGCAGGGAGGAGATGCCAGGAGTGCCAGAGCATTGTGTGAAAAGCTGTTTGCATATATATTTGCATGTACATGCAACCACACTTAAGTTGCGACTCTCAGCATGTGCTGTGAGTATCATTGTGGCCCCCAGAGCTTCCAAAGTTGAGTAGCCCTGCTCTAGGGTCTATGGTAACAAAGAATGAAATCTCCTACAAAAGAGAACTGCTGTCTCCGCTAATAACTAGCATTTTTAATCCTTAAAGTAAGCCTCCTGACCCTAACAAGTCAATTGAGGGCATGCAATGAGCTGATGGCAGAGTTAGAACCCAGGAGTCTTGACCCTCCAGTATCCTCCTTTTAAACACAAGGGCTGTGTCAAGTTTTGCGGAAAAACTTGCCAGCTGTCTACACTGGCTGCTTGAATTTCCTCAAGAACACTGACTTCCTACTGTAAGAAATCAGTGCTTCTTGCGGAAATACTATGCTGCTCCCATTCGGGCAAAAGTCCTTTTGCGCAAAGCTTTTGCACAAAAGGGCCAGTGTAGACAGCTCAGATTTGTTTTGCGCAAAAAATCCCCAATCGTGAAAATGGCAATCGGGGCTTTTTTGTGCAAAAGTACGTCTAGATCGGCACTGACGCTTTTCCGCAAAAAGTGATTTTGCGGAAGAGTGTCCGTGCCAATCTAGATGCTCTTTTCCACAAATGCTTTTAACAGAAAACTTTTCTGTTAAAAGCATTTGCAAAAAATTATGCCAGTCTAGACATAGCCAAGGTGTAACTGAGTCTCTTGACTACAATAGTAGCCTGACAATGGGGGATTTCTTTTGCCACTGTGGGAAAAACAAATGGGGACATCTTGCCCTGTTTCACATTCTTCTACCCTAGCAAGGCTCTATAGACTATGAAGATTTCATTCTGAAGTTCCTTTTTCCTTAACAGGGCTACTGAGGTGGTCTAAGAATGTACTGATCGATCTCTCTCCAGTAATTATGTTTCACTGATTTTGAATTTGGAAGATAGCCAGAAAACCTAACTATGTTGGGAATCATTAAGAAAGGGATAGAGAATATCTTATTGCCTCTGTATACATCCATGGTATGCCCACATATTGAATATTGCATGCAGATGTGGTTGCCTCATTTCAAACAAAAAATCTTGGCATTGGGAAATTCAGAAAATGTCAGAATTATTTTAGGGGTATGGAATGGCTGCTATATGAAGAAAGATTA